GGAATTGAATAACATTAATAGTATTAACATCCTCTTGCTTAATACAATTACTGACGAGCCAAAACATTATTATCAAGCTTACATTTTTTAAGGGGTATCAGAAACTCCTATACCGACAATGTTAAATTGGCCATTTTCGATGTACCTTTTCTCAAAATCTGCTGTAGATACAAGATTGAAATTTTTTCTGTAATTAAAGTATACCTGTTTGATTATACTGAAATGAGCTTTTGAAACATTTTGAATTTTAGAGTAAATTACAGGATATTTCGTTAGGCATAGTAAAATTTAGCACTTTTCTCACACAAAAAAAAATTAAAGAAATTTTTTCTAAGTTTATCACAAAAAGCTCATTTCAGTAAATATTAGGGAACCTAATAAATAAGGCATAAAAAGTTTAGATACCTGTGAGCAGTAGTTCCTGAAAAAAGGTACATTGAGTATAAAAAAATCCCGTTTGGAGAAAAACGCGATTTTATGTAAAAATCGTCATTGATCAAAGCAGTAGATGACAAATTAAAACTAGATTTTTTTTACAGTTGTAATTTTCATAGAGATTAAAGAATGGTACTTTTAGAAAGATAAAAGTGTAGAGAATTTGAAAATGCAAAAATCCGAAATCACAATTTTTTGAAGATTTGGCGGTTCCAACACTTTTTAATGAACTCGTCTGGATGATGTGGAGAGCACGTGTAATGTCCGAAGATTCGAAATTAATATCTCCGAAACTGCACGATTGGTAGCTTGTTCACACTTTGCCATTGTTAGTATTTGTGCAAAGTGCATAAATGATAGTAGACACCAAGATGGTGGATGTCCACGAATCATCACAGAAAAAAGACGTCGGAGGCTATGCCTCTTGTTACAGCAAAATCGGTGGCAAACAGTGGCTCAGCTGACAGACCAATATATTGGAGGTCCAAGTGCAAGTTTTCCGGAACAAACAGTACAGCGAATACTGTTGGGTATGGGACTGCGGAGCAATTGTCTCATTCGTGTGCATCCGTTGACAAAATACCATTGTCAACTACGCCTACATAAGGCCCGGGAAAATCGAGACTGGACCATGGATAACTGGAACCATGTTTAAGTGGATGGGACCATGAATAAGTTGCTTGGTCTAATGAATCACGATTTCTCATTCATCACGTGGATGGTCGTGCCAGGGTACGCCGTCTTCTAGGCGAAATGTTGCTTCCCACCTATACAGCACGTCATACATAGGATGGTGGGGGAGGTATTATGCTTTGGGGTACGTTTTCAGGGGCCACACTGAGACACTCAGCTGTGGTAAAACAGACTATGAGAGCTGCGGACTATCAGAACATAATTGCGAATCAATTGCATTCTTACATGGCGTTTGTCTTCCCAACTGGAAATGGATTCTTCCATCAGGGCAACGCCCCATGTCACAAGGCTGCGATTGTGTTGGAGTGGTTCGAGAAACATAAGGAATAATTCCAGTCAATGCCCTTGCCACCTAACTCACCGGATCTTAACCCGATAGAGCACGCTTGGGAAGTCAGCGGCAGCTCAGAGTTCAAACATTACCATCTCAGAATATCCCGACTTTGCGCAACCGCTGCTCAGACTTTTGGTACAATCTGTCTCCAGTCATCTACCAAGAACTTTTGGCATCCATGTAAAAACAAGTTGCAGCTGTTTTTTTGCCAGCCAAAGGTCTCGCAACGCGTTATTTAGGTAGGTGGTCATAATGTTTTGATTCTTCCGCATAGAAAAACATTGTTATAACATAAAAAGATGCCTTAAGTAAAATTATAGTAGTATAAATGACTCGATATTTTTAAACGCCAACGGCTTCGTAATAGATTGCGTGCAAACAGGAGCGGTGATATCTTGATTAAAATGTATTTGAACAAAAATTACACTTTATAGTTTAACTTTCCACGAAAGTATAATTGCACCTCTTCTTAGTATAACTCGTGCACCTCTTCCGCTCTGAAACGTCGGCTTTGAAAAGCAAAATTTAGAACTGGTGCTCACTCCAGTCTTTTGTAACTTTTCATCGGTCCCCAAAGAATTTCCAGTACCTTCCATTTCTTAAAATTACTGGAAGGTATATACGGTTAAAGTTACATATACAGGCCGGATACGATTGCAGTTACATTATAGGGATTAATTACAGTTATTCAGTTACAGTACTAGTTAAAGTTAAACAAGGAATTGAGCAAAATGTCTCCACGTTTGGCGAGTTTTGATGATTTATCGCCAAGTTTGGTGACCAAAAATTAGTCGCCAAAAACATCGTCCGCTTATCTCCCCAATTTAACGAGACATCCATTTACCTCAGTGTTAAATAGACTTGCCCTCGTAACCCTATTTCCTGGCAGAGTTTCGCTTTTTCAATCATTTCATGCTACATTATTCTAAAGAAACTACAATTTAACATATATTTTTTACCAACATTATTTACATACATACAAAATTCGTAACAATATAAATCTTATTAAATATTTCTCTGTTTGAAGAGTGTGTTAAATGTTTTATTACCAACTTTAGATTCTAGAACATTTTAATATGCGTCATTCCCTGTCATAAACGTATTAAAAAGAGTATTGCAACTCAGCTTAAAAGTTATGGAAATATTTTACGTTCTGTTAACTAAGAAATGTATACCTTAAATGTGCTTTTGCCCAATAAGAAATTGAAAAGAAAACTATCAGCCAACCATGGAAGGAAACACCCTCTGAATTCTGAAACTGAGATAACTATATTTATAAACTTACTATTCAATTCACGTCCATTCAAGTCATAATTAACAGGCGGAAAAAATTAATGCTGGATGTGACGCTGGCTAGACATAAAGGGCGAAAATAATGACTCATAATGACACTTAGAAAAATATCGGGTTGATTCTCTTTGGCACCAGGGGGCGTCACGCCTTACAGTTCGAGCATTGACATTAACGGCTTTCTTAACGACTGCCCGAAAATGAAAGCGCCCTGAAATGACGTCAGCATTTGCATTTTGTTAAGGCGGTTTTCTCCGCAACAATTACTGACGGCAAGAGAGCAAAGTTAATGGAGGATGGTTGATTCAGGATTCCGCGGGGGGTAGACATTTACTGCTTTAGAGATTTAGTGGCATTTCAGTGGCAGGATTTTAGTAGACACATACGAAGGAACTGTGCACTTTTTCATCGTATGTTGCTGTTAATCATGTTCTAAATAAGATTACTTTTGTTTGTTGGCCTTTCGTTGGTTGTAACAGTAAACGTCATATTTTATTTTATTTTATTATTATTATTACTACTACCACTGTTTTTATTTTAATGTTGCATGAAACTTATATGCAACGATACAAAGAATAAAAATTTAAGAGAATATCTACACATGCTTTTAAAGTGCATATAAACTTTAAGGCAATGTATCTCCAATGACACTAATGTCTTTGAAAAACTTATTTTAAAAATAATTGGGATAATTAAATGAGCCAGAAGTATAATTACGAATAAATTAAAATAAATATTCTTTTTTTTTTTTTTTTTTTTTTTTTTTTTTTTGAGATATGAATATTTTGACCATAAATTAAGTTTAAAGACGTATGAGATAATTTACTCAGAAGTAGAATTTTTTATAATTATTTAAAACACTTAAAATTGCATGATAGTATATTTTTCTTCTCTTAATAATTTATATTGAAAAGTATAGTTGATATTTTTTTTCCTTTATAAGCCTCTCATTATACATACGAATTTAGAAATTCGTCTGATGTTGATATTTTTCAAAATATACCAAAAAATAAACATAAAATTTATTAATGAAATAAATATAACAAAAATTAATTTTATTACTGAGATCATTAAAATATATTTCAATAACACAAAACAATAATTTATGCAGTAATTTGTAGTACCAAAAATAATGCACAGCATAAAATTATTTTTATCTGAAACTTCATGTATTTGCCTTATGTTAATAAACAATAACTAATCTTTGATCTGTTTAAAAGGAAATCTGTAGCCATTTTAGAATTTATGCTGTCTTTTCTCTTACACAACACGAATACGGATCAGTTTTCCTTAGAATGTCCTCCGTGAAGCCGTCCATTCCTTAAGCAGCTAGTCTTCGTGTGCTTTGTCGAATTCAAAAAGTTTAATCTAAACTTTAGAATTTTTGTTTTTATGAAAAAAAAAAAAAAAAAAAAGTTAAACTACATAAGAAATATACTCCGCGCATATACCCTGTTTTTAATAGCCCTTCACTGTGGTTGGTTGGTGCTTTTACCAAGTTGACGTAAAAAATTTGCATTTACAGAAAATCTTTATACCAAATTTTTTAAAGTAACAAAATCTTACGCCACTTGTTATATAATCAAAGACTTCCGGCGTATGCCATTTGGGCACAAAGCCCTCATGTAAACGCTGCATAAAATGCTTAAGATGCATAGCAACGAGAAAGGGAAACCTGCGCTCCTCAGAGGATTCGTGGATTTGTGCATAAAACTCATGGATTTATTCTGATGTTAATACAATAAATCGCTACAGCAACACACAGATTCAAATTCGAATACATCTGCAACATCATTTCTACGTCACTTATTAAAGTATATTAATTGTTTTAATGATTATAATTTTTAGGGTATTATTATCATATAAAGAAAAAAGATTATATTTGCGAAGTCCTTCCATCTATATGGTTGAAACATTTTCGCGGAATACTCTACCTTGACAACTACAAATGCATACTTTAAATAACTTTATAAAAGTAAATTCTGTAATCTTAGTGCCTTTTAAGCACTGACATAGGATTTTATCAATCAATATTTGGGAACAGTTCTTTTAGAAATATTAATACATAAACTAGTTACATCTAATTTATTAACTTCAAGAATTTTTTTTTACAGCTACAAGGCTTCTCTCATATTATAACTGTTCCAATCTTATGTGATTAAAAATAATGGAATAGAGAATAAAATATTATCATTAATCTTATAAATTTCTTCAAATAAATGATCTTTTGCTTCTTTCTATTCCGCAGTTAAACCATTATTGGTGAAGATTAGTGGACCTCGTCACCCATTTTCTGCAGGAGAACGAGTGCAGCTGAAATGTAGCAGTCAAGGATCACGTCCTCCAGCAGTTATCACCTGGAAAAAAGCGGGCTCTAATTTCAAAAATCCTCAGGAAGAAGTAGTGACTGGAGGAAATGCAACCATCAGTGTTTTCACTTTTACACCAACATCTGAAGACCATGGGCATTATGTTACATGTAGAGCAGAGAATCCACTAATTCCTGGTAGTGGTATCGAAGATGGTTGGAAATTAGAAGTGCATTGTAAGTACATTTTTTAATGAAATTCTTGTGTTTGTTGTATTTACATATAATAATACTCATCTAAAAGATTTGATTGTGTCTAAAATCTTAATTACTGATTCAATTCCAATATGAAATATTTGAGACGGATTAAAAAAATTATTCAACTTCAAAATATTCTTGTTTCTGACTATTCGTACTTTCACGTTTCGTTAACTAATTAAAAAAAATCTACGTCACACTTTTAATTAATTTTCTTTTTCCTTGACTTCGGGAAACACCCCCTCGGAACGATGACGTCAATCTACGTTTCTGATAAATTGATATTATATTTGTATATTATTAAAAAATTAGTTATTATTTTAACCAGTTATGTTAAATTGTTTCAAGTGATTAGTGCTTTTCAGTTTATTTAGCGAAGTATCTGTTTTAATACAGGAAAAAAAAAAAGAGTTCTTTCGTTCCTACAATAAAAGTCCTTTTGTTCGTGCAATAAGATCCCTTTCGTTCCTGCAATAAAAAATGTATAAGGTATTTTTAAATGGGTTAATTCTTAAATGCGTGAAACGATTTTGCCATAAAATTAACTTGTCATTCCGGCAGCAATCCATTTGTTTGTTTGCTTTAGGAACAAAAGTGCATACTGCATTTAAATTGGATTAATTCTTATAAAGTACAGGAATGGTACATTTATGTCTATCAGTCTAGAAATCCTGATAAAAAAATTCATTTTCCTAATTCGAGATTTCTGTGGCTCTGTACACAAAGTATGTGAAAACAAATACCTTCATTCCATTTGCTACTTGTTATTACCTTTTTAATCTGTGAAAAAATAGAAAACATGCAGTAGTGCATTAATTTATCCTAACACTGAGATGCTGTGTAAATTATACACGGAAAACAAAAGTAATTGTAATATTTCAGCTATATATATATATTTCTTAAAAATTGTATACGATAAAACATAAAAAATAAAAATTACGCCCATTTCATTATAACTGCATATGGAAACACACTATAGTTAATTTTTTCAAAAACATTTGTCATACAATAATTCCACCAGTATATTTGAAACAGCACAGGAGGAATTAAGTTTTAATCCAAAGCGACTGTCTAAAAAGCTATAAATTATTTTAATCTGTTATTATCCGCATGATATTCCACTGTTGCTATAATTAGGATGGGGTAATCCGATTGAATATTTTAAAAGCAGGACAGATAGCGTCAAACCAACTGAAAATTTATTTTGTATTTTCCATCTAAAGATTGATTTATTATTTGCTTTAACAAGTGTATTTAAATGAAGAGTTACTGAAAAAAGAAATTAAAATTTTTAAATTAAGTATAAATGAGTGTCCATATCTCACTAAGATTTAATAAAAAAAAATATAATTACCTTAATAATACCATCGTATTTTATAATTTAATACCATTTGATAGCCCAGTAATTAAGCCATTTGTGGAAATTGTATCGAAAGCAGTATCGAAAGCAAAATGTATCGAAAGCAGGATGGAAAAAAAAATCTGAAAGCTTTCGGATTTTATATTACGCCTAAAAGAGCTTTTTTTTATTTTCACATACACCTCTCGAGAGCATTTGGGATAACGCCCTTATGACTTAAAATATTTAAAAACAGCATATTTTTAGAATTTCAGATAGACAGTCTCGCGTGCTTGAGATAAACTTATTTTATACCGTACAATGCGTTGCCACTGCTCGCTTTGAAATCATTGAGTTACTTAATCAAAAATTCGTTAAAATTCAAAAAATAATAAATAGATAATAAAAAAAATTCGAAGTTCCAGATTCGGGCTTCCAGGTGCCCATATTCGGTGGGAGGGGGGAGGACTACTTTATTCAAAATTTGATAGCTCTAGTTATCGTTGTTTTTTTCTCAATGAGAAAAAATACTTTCATGCTGATTTTTCTTTATGTAATTTCTTTAAATATAATGCAGGGCTATAATATTTGGTGGCCGTTCCGAGATTAATAGCCACTTTAATAACGCCTTTTTTGGCTAAAAATGTAATATAAGTCTGAAATATTCTAGCATGCTAGCATACTTGCACCTACCAGCATCCTGTCTGAAAATGTTTATTGATTTCGTAATAAAGCCAGGTTTTAGTTTTCCTAATAGTGTATTTGAAATGTTTAATTTAAATAAGGGCATACAGCTGGCATGGAACTAGTAGGAAAATCTTTCAAAAAATTCGTAATAAAATTCAAAAATCTCATAGCTGCTATTTACAGCAAATAAACATTAAGTTTCGAAGCTTAGTAATAAAAAACTCGAATACTTCATCTATATCCTACGATTTCGAAATGCAATATTCTCTTCGTTCAAGCTAATAAAAAAGCTTTGGCTTCTAAACTGAAGGCAGAATATAAAACCGTAGATAATATTTTAAAGACAAATTTAAATAAGAGAAAGAAATATTTACACGTGGAGATTTTATTTAAATATATGTTCTGTTTTACAAGTAAAGTTTACATGTTTATATGTTATATATAAAGCTTAAGTTTATATGCCGCATCGCATCAGCTTTTATGCTTCATTTTGTCAAGAAATTCATAAAAAGCTTATATCCGAGATCTTAAATTTAGCTCTTAATTTGCTAAACATTTTCCCTCTTTTTCAATTTCAGACGCCATTACTGTGTTTTAATATTTTTTATTCTTTTTTTTTTCTCTTTCTTCCCTTTCGTAATTTTGTTTTCAGCATCGCTAGCTTTTATATGCAACCAGTGTACCTTAACCTCCCAGAAGTATAGTTCTAATCCTATTTTCTTTCATATGAGCAGCATCAACCTAACTCACAAGCTTATTCAGCCAACACAAGAACAGCCAAACTTAGGAATCCGGCACTTTTCTGTGCTGTGGTTACTAGCTCCAGTACACGTTGCAAAAGGGAAAAGAATATAAAAGAAAAATGTGAGAGTAATACATTCTTACGTCAAAACTTTTACTGGGCTTCTTCGATTCTTTTCTTTAGTATTAAAATACAGCGAAGAAAGAGTCGCTGTTTTTTGGTCGAGAACACATAAGGAAAAGCGAGGGAAAATGAAGTAAGGGAGATATCGTCAATTTCAAACATAATGTTTTGCTTTTTTCTTATTCAAATGTTTACGAAATATTATTTTAATGGCAGTGCAAAAAGCTATTATAAATATCGAGGAGTAAATTACACCCTCATTCGGAAAATATTATATATTTATTAAATAGCATATCTTAGAGAGAAAAGTCCTTCGGATTCTATTTTTGTTTTAAGAGCAGAATTTCATGAATAAACAAGAATGAATCAGTAAATAATACTAATAGTACTTAAGCCACCAGTAAAATGTAATTGAAAGAAAACGTGTACTTTTTAATTCTCTTTTACGTGAAATTTTTCAAAAAGCACAATACTATAATATGAACGTTTCTGAAGATGCTTTCTCTCTCAATGATTTATCAGATTTTGTATCTATCTTGACTGATAACAGGAAGACCGGAAGGTGGTGAAACTACACAGACTGTTGCAAATACTCGAGTTCCTTAAGGTGTCGATTCCGAGTTTTTGAATCGTTTCTGAAACAAAAGAATAGTACTCAGGAAACAGAATACGATGAAGAGCAGAGATGAGCAAAAGCCTGCCTGGGGTCTAATGTGGTCCTTTTGCGATTCCGGCCTGTTATGATATCTTGTGCAACTATATTTTCATCTCTTTTCTATTCAATTTTGTACGCAAATTACTGAAATCAGCAGCACGAGCGCGCTTCTGTTATCACAGCCTACATTCGCATATGCACGCATGATTGATTATGCTAGCGATTAACCTAAGATGAGAACACTAGTTACCCTACAAACGTACACATTCGACGACGAATATTGTTTTATCATTTCCACCAGTTTAGAAATGAAACTATTAAATAAGAGTATTGTAGAGAGAAAAACACTGATCAGAAAAGGGAGCTTAGGAAAGATAAGTTTTCATCCCTAAATTTTTAATTAAACAGAAACAGTATACAACTCAGTCATTTGATGAGGAATAGGAAAAGATCCCGTTTTTGGTGTGGTTTGTTTGGGAAAACTGTATATTCTCTCTAACTCAATTACACGCCCTCTTTCTTTAAGAAAAACAATAAATTATTAATTATACCCAAATTGAAGAATGGGAAGCAGACAGAATCGATGTGACTTCCTGTTCTCGGTCTGGGTCTTATCTAAAGCAAAAAATTATGCATAAAATATTATTGCAGATAGCAAGTTTTTTAAAACAATTTACTGGGTAGAGATATTTTTCCATCCTATGCCTTCTTTCCAAAGGATGAGGACATCTCAAAGTGCCATCCCAATTTGCAACGGCCGTGCCCACATGCTGCACTAAAAAAGAACTTCTAGGCTTATAATTTAAACCATTTGCCCACCCCTGATGTAGGGATATTTCTCCCAAGAGTAGATTATTTATCACTAATGGCCCGTCGTAAACTTTGATAGAATGCTATAGAGCTAATGGGCATTTTCAACCGGATATAAGGCTACTTGCATTAATATAACTCTTCATGAAGTACAACTACATGACTAGAAACCACTGATTTACTTTCTATGCTTACAAAAAATCAGTGCAGAAGTAGATTTTGGAGCATATTAAAACATACATATTACAGTTCCAAAATCAAGAAATTTCAGAGCTATTTCGAGAACTTCAAATTTAGGCTTTTAGAACTTTGGCATTTCAGAAAATAAGGTTTTTTTGGTTTGGTTTATTTGATTACGGCAAACAATGCCCAAGGTTCTACCTGTTTAGAGGTGGGATGCTTTCCTGGAACAGGAGAAACTGGCTCGCATATCTAATGTAACAGATGGGAAAAAAGTGAAAACTTCATGCAGCCGGCCCGCCCATCGAGTTACGAACTTCGTACCAAATTATCAGTATTCCGAAGATAGGAGGAGTTATACAGTTTTCATAATATTTAGTTGAAGAACGGATTATTTTGGCGGGAAAGCATTATTTAAAGTAATTAAATAATTATGAATAATG